TTTGTTCTCGCTATAGATTTATTGAGTTTGATTCAATGACTGATCAAAGGGTTGATACATATTTTGATGTATTATAAGATTATATTTAATACTCAAAGATTCGATCTTACTTTTGTAACACGCATGCGTCAAGATTATTATGTCAACTTTGCGCCGATTTGGAGCTGAGCTAATAGAATTACAAGACGTTGCATGGACGCATGGAAGTTAATAAATGAACCATCCAAAAGCAGCTAATCCTAACAATATAATATTGGGTAAAGGACTTTTACATGAAGTCATGTTTTTATGCTGAGTGACTGACACTCAATTGAAATATTCATCGAAGACTTTTAGTATTTAGCACGAAGCTTCGAGTCTTTCTTATAGTAAGCTCTAATCTTGTGATCATTTTACGTCTTTGTTATTGATCAGATCTAATATCGTGATCATTTCGCGTCTATGTTATTGGTTAGTTCTGTTACTCAGCTCATTCTATGTATTTTTATTTGTCAGTACCAGGATCGTAATTACTTTATGTTTTTAATATTGGCCATTTTCATTGTTGTAATTACTTCATGTTCTGATGCCGTGGTCATTTGTAATTTTGCAGTTGTTTTATATATATTTATCATTGGTCAGTTGTGATGTTCTAACCACTTTATATTTTTTTATTGACCAGTTTTATATTGTGATCACTTCATGTCTTTGTTACTGGTAAGTTCTGATGTTGTAATAACTTCAATTCTTTGCTGTTGACCATTTCTTATGTGATTAATCCATTACTGCTTTAAATTATTATCAGAATCATAAAAAAACATGTAGCTTAGAGTGAAAACAGGTGTTAATGGTTTCTTAAGACTACTGACAACCTAAATATTTATTGTAGGAAATATACGACCGTTTCATCATTTTTAAGCTATAGATTTACATCTATTGTTGAGTAATTGATCTTTGTTGACGGTAGATTGCTGTTTATTTAAGTTTAATTATTCTATTAAGACAAGTTTTTGACGTTCAGTCACGAAGTGTCACAAGTACCATTCCAGATATATTTTTTATTGAACTAAATAACATGATTTTGTAATACGTATTTACGAATCCAAGCCACGTTTTTCGAGACTGTAGTATCCTCAGTGCAATCTATGCCACATTCAGCGTCAAACTGTATAGTGGCTATAGTTATAATAAAGGACGATTTACATTTAAGAAAAACACTTAATGTAATTTTTTTAAATTTGCAGCATTTTTCTACCACCTGGTTTTTGTTTTTTACTTTGTACTTGTTATTGTAATTAGTACTCAATTTTTCAACCTGAAAGGCACTTTATGTTTCAGACACAACTGTTCCTAATTCAAAATTATCAACTGAAAAGAAAATGCAACTAGTGAGAAGCACCTGCCACCTACATGATTACTCTTAACTAGATAGCAGAATTGACTGTTACTTTTACAATACGTCAGTACCCGAAAAGGAGGAGCGTGTTAAGCGAAATATCATAAGTTCAAACCTTGAATCTTATGGTCCACAGCTCGACACGCTAATAACTAAGGAACTCTCGGTTTCTACTGCCTGACGAAGGGCGTCTGCCCGAAATACTGCAAAAGATAAAACTAGAAAAAGTTTTCATTTAGACGTGCTAATATATTCTATATTATCTTTTATCCAAACTCTTGGCCCTGTTGTTATTAAAAATGGATGTGTAACAGTACTAAAAATGAACCTTAACTTTTTTCCTTTCCACATTGAATTATTGATAAATAGTCTTTCAATTAAAGATAATGTTTGTTTAGTAGAAGTACAGCAAGAGTGGAAAGTTACTCTTTCTGAGCTTAGGCCATTCGAATTCCGATATTTTCTCGATAAAAATTCATGTTTGTACAGCTTAGTCATCTTTGCTGAGATACTGTTTAAACTGAACGGTTTCAATAATTCGTCGGAACCTTTTCACCATTTTATTCTTTGTTTCGAGAAGCTTACGTAATCGCATCCCTATTTTTATCAATTCAAACTATAAACTTAAAGGATTCTATGTTGTATGTTTGTTGAAAATAATATTTAGCTTAATTCCTTATTAGGGTACTTTTTTTAAAGCATAAGCAAACATTACGAAGTTTAAAATTACAACTCTAAAATGTATCAAAAAATATTTGGCTTTCAAAAATGTAACTTATGAAAAAATAATAATATTTTGAAAAATATACTATCATCACTAAAATGTAGCATATGTTTACATAAAAGGAAAACCTTTTTACTAGAATCAAGTTATTTAATTACTTAAATAATATAAGTGAATTTATGTTCAACTTAAGTTAACTACTTCTTTTGCTATTTTCTGACGTTAGTTTGACTGTTATTGCCCAAAACTACACAATAAACTAGCTGCGCGTTGTCCACCACGAGGTATCAAACCCCGAATTTTAGCGCTGTAATTTCTTAAACTTACTACTGATCCATTGGAGGACACTTGGTGACAAACTTGGTGATCGTGGTTACGTTTGTAATTTCTTTGCTAAAGCTAACATTTCGGAACTGCACAATGGGCTTAAACCAACTTGTAGGTTGCTAGAGAGGGAGTTCAGGATGAATACAACAATTATGATATGTATTTGTGATGAACATATATTCTGGTGTGGAATGTGTTCTTTCTTTTTGAGTTTATTCAAGAGACACAAGCTCCTCTTATCTACGCTTTTATTTTCCTTTAGATTTGCTTAACAAGAAAGTGATCATCTCGCCATTATTTTAAATGTTGGGAAAGCGCCAGGGGGCTAATAGAGGGTGCAAGAAATCTGCCTCCTATGAACATCTTTCAATTAACCGTTATATTGAATGTTGGGGGGTATAAGGGGGGCTTAGTGAGTGCACAAAGGCATTTGCATAACTAGCAACATCTTTTAAGCGTTATTTTGAATTCTAGGGGGCTAAGTGAAGGCGCAAGAAATCTGCCCCCCAGGAACATATTTTAGCCGTTATCCTCTTCATGCCTGATTGAATAAAATGAACGAAGACCCTTTTCTGAAATGAATAATATGGTTACTATATCAGGTAGTAAATTAAAAAAATATATGGCTGTATGTGGTAATATCAAAAAAATATATTGCATCATGTGGTGCCCTTATGCAAGAATAAATTATGTTGAATATTGGGATAGTACTAGTGTATTAAATGGGGATCTAAGGCATCTGTCTCCAAGGAACATCTTTTAACCGGCATTTTAAATTTTATAGAGGGAATCAGAAGGTACGAAATCTTACCTCCTGAGAACAGCTACCCGAAATACTTGCAGGGAAGAGATAAAAAAGATTAGTTTTGTGATTTATTTGATATAGTGCTGTTTAGCGATCGTCTTTGTTAGCTTTGATGTCTACTTTAGTTTTGTAAAGTTTATTTCTAAATGTAAAACAAACAGAAAATTGACAGTTCTAAATTTCTAGTTACATTTATAATCTGTTTTGTTCTTACTTCGACCTACATCTGTATATGCTATTCATCTACTTAATTATAACATATGTAAATTAAAAAGATGACCTAAGTCTATTTCCGCATAATATTTTATGTTTAAGGTTAGTAATAATAACATTGTATAATAACTTGTATTATGTACTTGATTCAAATGATTCTAGAGTAATTATTTTTAAGACGACTGGATCTAATTATTTTTAAGACGACTGGATCTAATTGAAAACTGAATGTTTTATTTAAGTAGAATATATCTTGCAAATGGGATTATCCTTACATAATTTATATTATATGGCTAATAATTAGCGAACGTTTTAATACGTAAGTGACAAATAAATGTAAAGCAAAATTTCCTGCGCAGGGTGAAATAGTTCTTACGTTGATTCGTTACTTACAAAGACGGGAGCCGGATAACTTGATAAGCGCGAATCGCTGCCGAGCCTGTAAATCGTGTTTTCTTGCATAACATGAGTAACGAGTAAGAAAATCACCATCGTTTCAATGTCTCAAAAATTAAACACACGTAAATAAATGCTTTTCAACACTATAGAAGTGCTTTTGTTTTGTTTTAAATAAGGTTTCTTCTTCAGAAATTTCAAGAACATAGAAAGTTAATGTGACGACTTTTGAAAACGAATGAATATCGAACAACCAGTATAACAACACATTTTCCCAAATTATCACATTAATATCTAAAATGTTGAAGTTATTTGATGGAATAAAACTATATAATTGAAAACGTATTTACAAGACAAAATCTAAGAAACGTTTCAGATAGTAAATTAAGTCGTTTTTCATCTCGTTTTCGTTGTCTGTATTACTAAGAGGTGTGGATGTTTACTTTAACGATTGTGAGTATAATATACTGTAATTTCTTATGGCGCCGTAATAAGGTAAAACTCACACAAACAGTCAAGGAACTGAAAAAGAAACCTATTAGTCACATGGTAGTATAAACAGAAAAATATGTGTTTTTCGAATGCACAAATTACAATGGAAAAAACCCGCAAGTGTCTAAATTTAATATAATAGGCCAATTTTTCTACAACAACGTAAATCTACCGAGTGACAGACAATTTAATGAATTGCCACCATGTTACGAAGTTTGTAAAGATCCAAGTTTATCGCTATCATAAGCCGCTTGCTTGACATAGATAATCACATGCGCATGCGTTTAGCGAATGACGCGGTAAGAGTGAAGCTTTTGTTCTTGAAAAAGTACTGTATAACGTTTGCCTAGAATTTAGCTAAACGATAAAAAAGAGAGTTCCTTAATAAGTTTTTTTAAATTTTTACCTCATTTTCACATATTTATGTACATAATTTTAAAACTTTTTGTCATATTTCTAACGTTTAGTTTTAGAGCTTTGGATATTAATGGATATAAAAATAATAACAAACTCTCAGATATTAGATAAAAAAAAGAATCATTAGAAAGAACACTTTGAACATCAACTATAAATCCAATTTTTAACTACAGTGTTCTCCACTGATGTCGCTAGTTGTCAAGTACAAGCTCTGCTGTAAAAGTGAACGTCATCACTAAAACCAGCAACGCTGTAAGTCCCGTGGCACGCGCGCATGTGACTATGTTTCATTAAAGTCGGTCGTCGGACCACTTGCCAAATTCGGCTCTTGAAATTTGTTTGACAATCCCACAGGAACTGTTACACAGTAATGAACATCTAGTTGTTTTTAAATTCGTTAAAAATTCCAACACAAATGGATTTACCAACACACCTACCGATAGCTTTCCTGATCCTTGTTTCGGTTACAGGTAAGAAAACTTTAGAAAACTAAATCTAAGGTCCTTCTATTTACTGGCCGAGAATAATGTGAAAAAATACATGATACTATGTATTAACAAAATAAGAAACTAAATGTTTATTTGTTTTTTGCCTTTTATAATACATAAACTGCACGATAAAGAGACAATAAATGGTTTTCATCTTTTCTGTCGTAATAAATTTGTTTTACTCTGTTTATAAATAACCTGTTATTCTCCCAAAGAAATAAACAGTTTGGACTAAAATCTATTTTATAAGACAATCTTACATCACAACTTATTTGAATAATTACTTTGAATATATCTGCTATTAATTTATTTTCTAAAACGCTTACCGTTTTCACCAAAAACACCGAAAAATTGAGGATGATGCCTTAATGAAACTAATTTTATAAGCCGTTCAAGCAAACAAAAAAATTTTTACTGCGAATTACAATATAAATGTTTCTTTAAATACATTAGAATAAGCACGAAGTAGACCGATGATAGTAATAATGGAATTATATCAGAGAAAAATGTGTAATAAGCAAGATTTAATGAAATGTTTGTATACATCACTGAATATTTTGTGTGTCTGGAGAAGACGAGATTAATATCTTGTTAGGCTAGTATCTCGCGGTCAATTCGAACAGCTGAGGATAATTCAACTCAGTAAGAATTTGGCTAAGAAAAATTTATATTTCGTGTAAAGACTGACCACACGAGGTTAATATCTCTTGGTAAATTCGACCAGATGATGTTAATATGTAATGGCAAATTTGACCCCACGTGTTAATAAAATAGTGCATGATAATTTTAACAGAACAAATTTAACAGACTCTTGTGATATATTTGATCGAACGAGATTTCGTGGTCAGTTCGACTGGGTGAGGTTATGACTTTCTGGTAAGTTCAACCAGGCGTAGCTAAAGTCTTATGGTCAGTAGTAGTTTCGGCTGGATGAAAGTTATGATAATATTGCTATTTAGATGGAACTTCGCTACTATCTTGTGTAAGCTGAATGTTGTTACCATAAAAGAAAGCCTAAAGTATCTTAGTACAATAGTGTATTAGGTTACAGCCTAAATTATCTTAGTACAATAGTGTATTAGGTTACAGCCTAAATTATCTTAGTACAATAGTGTATTAGGTTACAGCCTAAATTATCTTCGTACAATAGTGTATTAGGTTACAGCCTAAATTATCTTAGTACAATAGTGTATTAGGTTACAGCCTAAATTATCTTAGTACAATAGTGTATTAGGTTACAGCCTAAATTATCTTCGTACAATAGTGTATTAGGTTACAGCCTAAATTATATTTGAAGACAGGCTATATAATCTCCATAGCCTTACTATTCTATCCCACTTTCCCATCCTTTTTGCTGGCTAGTTGAAATTAAATCATTATTTCTTACTCTGCTTATATAGCTAACTAAGTTAAATTGATGACAAATACTTGACATACCCATATTACCGACAAATTTGGTGAGCACATGAAGGCGTAAAATCGGCACTGTCTCACTGAATGTTGCTTTCATTAGGAATTGTATGAGTATGAGGGAATTTTAACTTTTAATCTCTAAAATAAAAACCTAGAAATATAGGACACGACACTTATTGCTGCTACAACCGTAAATATGATTTTAAATACACGAACGATTTCGTAATACTGAACAGTGTTATTTTTGAAAAAAGCTCTCGGCATTAAGAGTCGCTAGTCATTCAACACCTGAGACCTAAACTAAACTAAACTAAACTGTTTCACTGAAATTGGAAAACTAAATGTAAAGTTAATATTCGGTATTTAAAATAATTCTGCATATTTTCATCTAGAATACAATAAATCCACAAGTCTAGGCTTCTGAGACTTAATAACTTCTAACCGACAAAGCGTATCCAGAGAACACGCAATACACACCAGGCAACATTAAGAAACATAATCAAGCTTTTGACCTGCATCAAAATAAGGTCAAGCTGATGTGGACTATATTTCTTCTGTTAATTTTGGCGCTAAACTCATTCTCTCGGTGAGAATATTTTAGTGTGAATAAATTAAACACTTTCCTAAACGTTTTCACACTGATATTTCTGAAAGGGAAGAAATCGAGGAAAAGGTTGGCCTAGATTTTAACATACTTTCATAAGTAGATGTTGAGACAAAACTACTGTAGTTCTATTGTAGGTTTTCAGGTAGGAATTCCGAAAAAAAAGAGTGTGGTTTATTTATCTTATGAAAAACGAAAATTATTTACGCAAACATAATCCACTCCAGATTAGATAAATAATGCACATTAGTGAGGACCGTACTTTGTACACATACTTCACACTTATGTCTCTGAGAAAGGATCACAGTATATACACATAATCCATGACATGTAAACATGGCCCATGTCAAGGTTGACTTTATCATTTCATACGAAATGCTAATATGGTGTTTCAGGTAGAAAAATAGGACAGAGAAGAATATTAAATAATTTGTAAAAATATTATATTAATATAATATCAAAATATATATTCATTACTAAACTATATGAATAAACTCATTTAGTATTTAAAATTCAAAAACAGCTAAAATGGTATAGAAAAAATGCACCATTTAAAAACAACGTTTCATCACTGTTAACTTGGCATCATCAGGTACTCAGTACAATTGTACACGACACTTAAGTACGCCCAATTGGTGACGTCAAATACATAACCTTGAGCTAGCATAAATATAAACCTACTCCTTGTGTTTATTTATTTATTAAAGGTTTGTATTCCTTTGTTAAAATGGCTTCTTTTGTTTTACGCTTATTGATATTAGGTTCTTGACAAATAATTCTAACAGTTTTATTTTCATTACGCGTCACCAATTACGTTTACTTATATGTTATGTACAATTGAGCTGAGTACCTGATGATGTCACGTTAACAGTGACGAAACGTTGTTTTCTAAATGATGCATTTTTCTATCCCATTTTAGATGTTTTTGAATTATACAATTTGTGGAGTGTGGGATACCTCAAACATTTATCATTTAAATATTGTCAGCTATAACACAGTTATATTTTCTATTACTAACTTAAATAACACACCAGGAGATATCTATACACATAAATCATATAACGAACGTTTTAGTCTACACATTGATTACAGATACGGTGATTAAGGAAGACATACTATTAGAATTATTGTAAACTTCAGTAACAATGAAATCTCAACTCAGTTACAAATTCAGGCCTGTATCACAACATTAATCAATAACAAGAGTTATCTTCACATGATGTAAACTTGAATTGAATACTCAGCAGGAGACCCACTCGTCGTTAACTATGGATATTTCACAGGCTTCGTGGAAACTTAGAAGGTTGTTTGTCTCGTGTGTGTGGACAGATATAACCTTTAATGGTCGTTGTTTCGTTCTGTACTTGTAACATGATTTTAGCTGAAAGCCAGCCATCTTCAATGATGTTGTGAATGCTGAGATTGACAGAAATAAGAAGAAAACAAAAGCATTAATAATACAAATAATATAAAATAATGAAGGTATAGGAAGAATACAGTATATGTGCTAAAACACAAGAGGGATAATTGGAAGCCTAATTATAGTGAAAACAAAAGGGAATAGGTCAAAATGCAGAAATAGAGATGACTAAATATTTTAATAAATGATGAACGTAACAGTATGAAAAGTTTAAAACACAATTAAATGCAGGGTTCTAGATAGAGAACATAATGTAGAATATAACTGGGACTACAACTAAGGAAAGGAAACCAAGGGTAAAAAGTTTCTGTTAAATGATAAACATTTTAGCTATGACGTTAAAAGAAGTAAAAAACAGATAATGCCAATGAAATAGAAGAAATGGATAATTAAATCCTTTATTAAACACTCGTACAATATAATTATAGAACCTGCAAATAAATCCTTTATTAAACACTCGTACAATAGAATTATGGAACCTAAAATTAAATCCTTTATTAAACACTCGTACAATAGAATTATAGAACCTACAAATAAATCCTTTATTAAACACTCGTACAATAGAATTATGGAACCTAAAATTAAATCCTTTATTAAACACTCGTACAATAGAATTATAGAACCTAAAAATAAATAATTTAAATAGCATTAGAATACTCAATAATTTAACTATGCCTTAAGAATACAAATTCAACATTGAATGAATGATAAAACACATTCTAAAGAGAGAATAAAACGTTTAAGCATATTACAAAACCCAACAACAAAAGAAACAGGAATTAAGCTGAAATCTTGTTATTGTAATAATGGCTAATGTATTATACTCTATATAATGTATAGTACTCTGTATGTGTTTTGTAAAACTTTGAGGCAGTTAACTGTATACTATTGAACATATTTCCCCTGAAAAAATATTTCTATGAGATTGTTATACTGGGAGTGATTTATTCCACGCCAGTCTTCTACAAAATAAGCTTTAGCTAACATTTGGAGATGATTAAAGCAAAATAAACCTCTTGAAATCATTAATAAATTAATGTTATTGTGAAAGAAACCTGAAACTATTGAAGCGGTTAAATAAATTTGTGGGATCCATTACGATACACAGATTAACGAAAGAGTTACGAAGGAAATTAAGATCCCAAATGTTGCTGAAGATAAAAGAAATTTGTTGTAGAATAAAAAATATGTTGTGCCTATACAGCAATAGCGATATCTTCAAGATGAAACACAGAAAATAAAGTATTTTGAGAAACGTTGAAAATATAACCTAGACTTCGAGGACAGCTCGTCAAATATATATAAAAAAGGCTGGGACGAAAAAATGGAAAAGGTAACAAAAAACGAAAGACAGACAAAATATAAAAGTTATAAAATAATGGAAGAAAAATAAAGAAGTTGATAAAAATACAGTAGAAAAAACAAAATAGAAATGGTTACAAAACAAAGGAATAAAAGCGAAATCGAAGTATAGAATCTAACAAGGAACGAAATGAAAATAAAATAAAAAAGTTGACAAGATATTGCAAGGAAAGCAAGATGAAA